GCAGATCAGGTGCTCAAGGACCTTGACTCTGTTTCCCTCAGACAACACAAGTCCCCTTTCATTCAGCTGCTCCAGCTTCCACCATATGTGGAGAAAAGCATTCRGCTCCATCACTCACTCCCAAGGACATAAAAGCTTTCTTCTCTGGGTGTCGTTTTTGTGGAGAATCATTCTATCACAAAAACTCTGAGAGCAGATCCAAGTGCTGGAGACATGAAGAAGGGTGCAGCTTGGCTATAAAAGGACGCCCTCCTACACAGAGTTTTCCTCATCATGTTTAACTGGACAAATCAAACAGCATTAAGTTAAACACTGGGGTAATGCAACAGGATGATGTCGAAACAAACCCACTAACCAACCAACTCTGAAAGTCACAGCATGGACTGGGAGCTTGTGAGCAGAGCCTGGTATGAAGTTCACCATAAAATGAGACTTTTTCCTATGTGGTCTAGAGAGCCTTTGAGAACTTGTTTTAACTAGTCTGTCTTGTATAGTCCAGGAARCTTTAGGATATTGCCTGAAACTCAGGATATAAAAGGTCTTGCAAGAGCTGGAACAAAAGCAGAGGTCTGTTTTTTAGAGCAGTGATTGTARCACAAGTGCATGGTCAGGTCACTGTGGGCTTTCTTCCCAGTAACTGCAGTCTGCTTTAAAGGCTGTTAAGCYCATTATTCACACCTCTTTGTAACCAGAAAATTAAAACACAGCCAGTGGGTAACAACAGACTTTAATGATACACCTGATTAGTACTAAGTGACCATCTTTCAGACTCAAAATAAATGCCAAATCACCCTGGCAATTGCATTCCTTGTAGTTATCAGTCCTTTTCCTTTYTAAAATACACCTTTCTGACAGCGGCTCACAGCTACTATTTCCTTTTCATTCTCTGAAGTGCAGAGCACTACAAATACATCATTTCACTTTGCTGCAGTCCTTTCTGTCCCTTTGATCATCTCCTTTACACCTTCTGCATTTCTGCTTCAGTCCCTCATGTGCAGTACATCAAAAAAGAGCAGCAAGTAGGTTTTTCCAGGGATAGAATCCCAGCTGGTATAGACAGCACAAATGCCACTGAAGTCAGAAACATTGCTGTATTTAAGCCAGCTAAAATTTTGCCCTTAGTTCTTATTTCAAAATGCCTTATAATTCACTTAAAGCTCTACAATTCTCTTCTTGGAGTACTGACTGCTGGCTCAGAAACTTCCTTGTAAAAGTGTTAAAATCATTTGCAGTTCACTGCTTTGTGACTCAAAAGTAAACAATGATGCTCCTTTCTTCCATTTGTCATGACCTCTTAAAAATGGTTCGTGTTGCTAAGAAATGATTTTTCTAATAGTACCTGGACTGGGTGTTTGCTTCCTGTATTTTACAAACTAGTCTGCTTTGCACTTGGCTAGCCTTAGCTGAACATTTTTTGTGTCTATTTAGAAAACTTAATTATAAAACTTCCAAATACTTTAAACTGAAGCAATTTCTAAATATTACCACAAGGTAAGTATGGATTTTCCCAGCCCAGAGACTGATAGTGAATGAACTTGGGAAGAGCTGCAAAGGAGGCAGCATTAGGCCTGGGGTGATGGGCAATCCTTGTGCTCCGCCTCTCTGAGAGTTCAGCTCCCACTGAACACTGCACAATGCCCATGAGCACAGCGATCTGAAAAACTTGTAAATACCCCGGAGAAATACCAGTTTCATAGATTAGGAACTGAAGCCCAGAGCTAAAGCAACACATTCAATACCCCAATATTCAAAAACGAAGTTAGTTAACTCTGTACTTCTTGTCCCTGGCTAATGATCCAAGTAGTTGACATTCCTTTAGCTCTACTCTCCCTCATACATAAAGAAAAAAAAATTGTCTCTCTCAGATAACTGAGTATCTTGGATGTGATGTAGTGTATGATACTGGTAAGATTAACACACACAATTTTACCATTGCAGAAACTGACAGTCCCATTCCTTACCCAGCTGGCCGAAGACATAAACTGGGGAAAAGGATTTTCTTTGCAATTTTCTTGTGTTGAGAATTGTTCCAGAGTAGTAAGAGCTACCTTTTTCTCTCTACAGAAATCTCACCCTGTTAAATTGATCTTGTGACAGACAAATCCACATTTCAGCTACAACAGTGGGAAGTGCTGTAGGCAGGGCAATGCCCCTGAGAGGAGAGCATTTCTTAGTTCACGGGATGATGAAAYACATGCGAACTCTCTGCGCTCCAGCCACCTTCTGAGCAATTTCTCTGCACCTCAGTCTGATGTTGCACTGCCTCAGTACTGCTCACTTCCCTTTTAGGAAAGAAATCACTGCTAGTTTCAAAAAAAAAAAAAAAAAAGCAGAGGGGCTGTAATGGAGCAGGTGTCTTGCTGAGTAAAGCAGCAGATGCTAACTTACCCTAAAACTTCAGAGAGGCATCACTGACATGCACCTGAACATCTACAATTAAAGCTCAGTTTCTAAATACACAAAAASTTCTGTATACATTCGTGTAGAACATGTTATGTTGCTCAAGCACCAGTTTCCATTTTGATTAATGAAGAAATAAAAATGCAAACCAGCTCCAGACAACCAGCACACAAGTGAACAAACTGCCCAGCTGTGCCTTAAAACGCTCCTTCCTCTCCCCTCCCTGCCTGCTGAAGTTCACTCGATGAGAGCATGAAGTCGCCAAAAGGCAGATTAATTTCAAAGCTTCATGGCCTTTTTCCTTTTTCGGGTGGGAGGGGAGTGCGGGTGAGGACCAAGAGACAGACTAACAAACTCACCAGGAAAGCTCAAAGTCCTSACCCTGCCCAGAACAAAAATGCCTCGAATTTTCTCCCCTCCCTTCCTTCTCCCCTCCGTCCCCGCCTCCCTCCCCTCCCACAGTTCTCCCGCCTCCCCTGAGCCAGTGTTACCTAATTTCWACACAAACACGCAGTTCCTATAAGCATCACCTTCGAGCAGCTCTGCCTTTCTGTCCGGTCACATCTTGGTTTAGGGGAGCAGAGGCGAAGAGCTACTACTGAGGGGTTCTGCAAGGTAATCGACTTGTTGGATTTTTACTTTTTCCTTGTAATGCGTAACTAGTGGTTAAGTAGCTGGACCAAGAAAAATGTCCTGGCAGACTGTCTGGCTGGAATTTGTTGAAGTAGAAAAGCCTCAATACAAACTCAGAAATAGATTTWAAAACATTTTGGCATGCTTGCTTCCTGCAGGGAMMTAGAAGTACTTTTTAAGAGCAAGAYCAAATGWATAAATATAAAATCACTAGAATTTCTTGTAGTTATGGGTGCCAGTTSTATGTGTTTAAACACGCAGATGCATTCTGATTTAGTTTCAGTTCATCACATTTGACAGATTTAGCAAGCAGCAGTCCACCGGGACCATGTTCCAGCTGTTTCACTCAGCTCCCCACCGGCTGTGTGTCTTCCTCTCAGCCATACTGCTGCAAAATGTCCTGAATTCTTTGTACCTTCCTGTACCTTTTGCAGGCTCTGAATTGCCAAGATGCTTCTGATTCTTTCTCTGGTCACTGGGCTCGCCCTGTTTGCCTCTGATGTCATGACAGACAAGGAAACTGATCCACACCAAGAGTCATTGCATGAAATACAGAAACAAGTGAACGACCTCTGGCAGAACTTGCTGTACCCAGTAACACGCGGTAACGAGACTGATGGGATGATTTATGCCACTTGTGAAATGAAGCCCAGCTCCAAAATAGATGCTGACAAGCCACAAGTGACCGGACAAATCTTATTCAGGCAGTGTTACTCATATGGGAGACTGGAAGCCATTTTTTACTTGGATGGGTTTCCACTGGATAACAATCAGTCTAGTAGAGCTATCCACATCCACGAGCTTGGAGATCTCAGCAATGGCTGTGATTCTACAGGGGGACACTATAACCCTTTCAGAGTGAATCATCCCCGTCACCCTGGAGATTTTGGCAACTTTCTTCCTAAAGAAGGCAAAATCAGAAAATACAAAACAAATCTCTTTGCCACAATCTTCGGTCCATATTCCATCATGGGCAGATCTGTTGTGATCCACGAGCAGGAAGATGACATGGGCAAGGGCAATAATAAGGCCAGTTTGGAAAATGGAAATGCTGGGAAACGTCTGGCTTGCTGTGTGATTGGGATAAGCAACAAGAACTTGTGGGAAGAGAAACTGCCTGAGGTTGTGGACAAGAAGAAGAGAGGGCTTTACAGAAGAATGTACAACCAGGCCTAGGTGAAATCCAAAACGCCAGCTACAGCCTGGGCAGCACAAAGTAACTCAGGCTGTGCCGTTRGCCACTAAGATGTATGGCTAAAGGATTCCCATTTCCATTTGCTTGCTCCTCTGTGAAATGCATATCACTTGTATAGAGCTTCCTTTCTGTATGCCCAACAATAAACCTAGCATCAACTCAACCATGAGTGTTTTCTTGAAGAAAAAGATATCCTTTTATGTGGTTTGGGAGTTGAATGAGTGTAAGTAAGAGCAGAGATGGRTAGGGTGCATGGGCTAAAGAATCAGTGCACTCTAAGGGTCTGTTAAGGGATTGTTAGCTACTAAAGGAAAAAGGTAAGAATTAGTCTCTCTTTGGACACCATTCTGTAGTTAGGTGCAAACTTGAAAAGCAGAAAGGTCTCGATGTTGTTAACAGTGTTGGGTGATGTGTTGCAAGACCTTGGTAATGCACTTCCCCTAGAAATATGGGAAAGTACAGAAATTTGTGTTGAACTTCAGATCCATAACATTACTCTACTTGTCTCTAAGTTTGTGCCTGTTAGTAGCAAAGTTGTATACAAAAGTTATAATGCTGCTTAGACAATGATGATAACTTTAGCAGATCAGAGAGAAATGCTATTTTTATACACAGCAAAAAATACTGTGTTACTTCATACAAAACTGTAGGAAGTAAATCRGTTTAGGCTAGGAGAAACGACAGTGAAAAGATTTAAGTAAGATAATTTTCAGACTTAAAACTCTCAGWAAGGCTTTACTTTTTAAATTTAACACAGCACAGTGAGAATATTAAAACATCACCCCATGGCTATCACTCATCTGATACTGAGAAGAGAAAAGGAAACAAGCAGGTAGAACAAGTATATCAGGAAATGCTTTTATTAAAGAAGACAAAGTTAATTAATATAGTTTAACCATGTTGTGCTGTTAATCCAGGCAGCAACAAAAGAGTGGTTTGCAAATAAATTAAACTGCATAATTTAGAAAGCAAACTACAAAACAGAAGCTGGTAAACAAAATGCTATCTTTTAGAAATGTAGCTGATTTTCAACTTAATCTCAGTTAAGATTTTGAAATACATTCCTGAGCTCATAGGGATTAAAGAAATTCCACTGCCTTTATTATACAAATTCCCATATGCGTAAAAATAGTCTCACTTAGAAAAGAAGCAGCATTCTAAAAGATACTTCTTAATCTCTCATTTTCACACACTTATTTTACAAATTCAGTGAACATCGTTTTTCCAATAAGCACAACATCATACTTCCAAATGAAATCCTTCTCACAGATAATGCATGATTTCACTTTTAGGTAAGACAACCTCCTTAAAATCAGTTTGTGAGATGCAGCTTCTCCATACCCCTGCCACAAAATTCCCTTCCCAGTTTGCTTCTCCAAAGCCCAATACCAAAAAGGCTTATATATCTGGTTGTCATCTCTGCACTTCTAAAGTAGGAAAAAAAAGGGAACACAGGTCTTAAAAAACAAAACACAACCACTACCCCCAAATCTAAGGTAGTGTTGAGTGCACAAAAAAAAAGCACAAAAAACCCAGGTAAATTTACTGGGGGGAAAAAATAATTGTTAAGATAGCACAACAATTAAAGCAGCATCTGAGGAAGATACTGACAAGAATATTTAATTATCACCTAGTGCAGCAACAATGTCTTACTTTTACAAGTCTCCTTGCTTTGAAGTCTTGTATTCCTGGGAGAAGGCTAAAAATGTAGCTAGAATACACATTTGCTAGAGCAGGAAGTAWAGGGGCAGTATTGCAGCAGTGGCATCACACTGAAAATGAGGTTTTCAGAGAACTATGTATCTTACTGGACTTTACTGATTGCTAGGATTTAAAAATGGAATCTAAGGGGGAAAATGGTGTGAGGACAATTACCAAGATGCCCTAATTGTTGTGTAGAACATCAGTATGCTCTCATAGAAAAGACATACTGAAAAGAATCAGCAAATGAGGCACTAAAAAGCTGTTGATCCAGCACTGCTCCAACCTTACACCAAGCTTTCATTACCTAATAGCATTAACTGGYTGTTAAGGGACCGTGAGCAAAATGCTCATTTGAACATTTCTATGTCAGGAAAGACACAGGACAGGGAAATAATAAAAGACCCTCAGCATTTCTCAGCCACAGGAAATCYTGACCTTTGTATTTGCTTGCCTCATTCTGACTGCACTGATATTTAGCTCTGTGCAGGATCAGCCTGGGAAAGATAGAAAAAATACATCTGAAATAAAATGCTACTTCATGTGATATTCAGGCTTTAGAGGAAAAAATCCTCACGTTCTCCTGGAGATTTTAGTTTCTACAGCAATTTCTCTTCTGACTGTCACAAAAATGAGTCAATAATGTAGTCAGTTACAATTACTGGGAACAGCTAAACAGTCTTTCATACACTTAAACTCTTGTTTTGTTTTGTTTTTTTTCAGGTAATGAGGAATTTTAATGGTGATCAGGACAACATTTTTTTTTTACTGCGTCCTTTCCCTWATACACTTAAATATTTATATAACTTTTGTTCCTAAGGACTGCTGCTTAACATCAATGGAATGCTGCAATGTCCAATTACCCTTAAAMACAGAGTAAACATATTTGAGGAGCCCTGTAAGTATGGCTTTATATCCTGCAGACAGACACTGAAAGGGCTACACAAATGCACCTGCTAGGGAAAACACATGAGAACAGAGACAAGCCACATTTTTCACCTTCTGACTATCACTCCTTATATTTATACATAATAATTTACATACAGCCTTTCTTCTGCTGAATAYAAACCATTCATGGACTCTGACACCTTGATTATGGCAGCACCTGCTARCTCATCTTATACATACAGAAGAGTTGTCAGTACTGCTAATATAAACTCTCTTTATTCAGTAGCTGACAAGTGGGCTGTAAAAACTTGCAGSTGGCAGTTATTTGTCAAAGAAGTACTCAATCTGGGAGGGATTTTCCTTTTTATTAGTAGTATTTTATTAAATTTGCTTTAATTCTCTCTGATTGGTTTCAAGTTCTAGGAGTGAGAAATGAACATTTACAGACAATTAGGTCCCAAGCCAGCAGAAAAAATTGCCTTGATGGCTGCTGGCCCATAGAAGCCCCACAGCTGCAGAAAGTATTCCTTATGCTACAAACAGGAGAGGAAAGACCTGCCTCCCCTTCTCCAACAGCTGCTAACTTCAGTGTTAAGTATTCCCTCGTTGCTGCCTTCCTCGAAGCAGAGTGGCACAGCTCCAGCATCAGGACTGAGCTMGGGAATGACACAGCAGCTCCCTTTTCCCCCAGTTATTATAGGAATGTTTTTCTATGACTAAACCTCTTCAAGAGAAGAAGTTTAAGAAAATAGCAGCAATGCAAATAATCCTTTTATCATACCACAGACTGGTGAAATAAGGAGGAAAGGAAGAGTTATCCTTAATTCCAAATAACAAAATAAAAAGGACACAAAATTCCTTYAGAAGGAGAGCACAGATGGAGTAGGCTGAAATCTGCCACCCATTAACTAAGCCCAAGGGCCGTTCCAGCTCCTGTAAAAAGAGGAATGCAATTTCAGAAACYGACAGAGCCATGTAGGTAGACAGGGCATGACCCGTTCTCCTCTTGCTGTTTTCCTTGCTTTGGAACAGCATCGCTGTTTCTCACAGTAAGACTTCTGGCTTCTCTGACGATGTTTCCTTCAGAGCTTCATTAAATTGGGTTCTCAGTATCTGGTGAAGTAACTCCCTTCATTTTCATGAGATTAGCTGGGAGAGGAAAGGAAAATTTTGTACAGTTGACAAAATACAAAAATACAAAGATTTGTAATGAGAGACCTATATACATGCAGGAATGGTATTCTGAAACTTCCTGTAAGGGAATAGTGATCTTATTCTAAGGATGTACTTAACTATGCATGTAAAGAGAAACAGAGCACGGTCTGAAGAAAATGCAAAAGCTTGCAGCCTTAAGACGCTTCTCAATTTCTCTCTCCAAATTTTTCACCCTTCAGAGAYACTTCTCACCATTAGAATACAGTCCAGCACTAGGACCATACATGTTACAGGAGCCTAGTGCTAACAAGATAAAGCATTATCACTGGCCTCTTTACTACACTAATGTAAATTACATCAATCGATGTAGAAACTTCCAATCATTACAAAAATCCCCAACATGACTAAACCTCATCACTAATTCTTTCCCTTAGGTAATTTACAGTTTTGGTACACTACAGCCAGAACTAACAGAAAAACATCTATTTTAAAGAATTATTAACAGTTCAGTGTAAAATAATCAACCCTACAGCACACTATTTTCACTGATTATATCTGCAAYAGCACAGATACTGCAAAAGGATTACAGTGAGATGCTCGAGGGCCTGGATTTCATACCTCAAGCCAAACTGTTATCAAAATATTCACGGTTTTCAGCAGCATCAGATGGTTTCTTGTTTTCAGAYTCAGAGAGCTCCTCAAAGCTGTTATTTGTGTCTGCAGTTGTAACACTGAGCCCTCCATGCCTTCCAGCGTCTTCAGTATGCACCGCATCCATGGTGTTGCTATTTTGATCCCCTGTTTCATTTGGAATTTCACAATCCCTCTCTGAGGTTTTGTTATTGTCTTTCAGGGCCTCACTTTCACCTGTTCGTTCATTCTCAGAGTTTGAGGGATCTGTGGGGTCAGATGGATCAGGGCTGGAAAGTGGGAACTCTGCCTCTGATGAATCATTAAGCTCTGCTCCAACTCCCATGTTCTGCTCCCCCACAGGAGCGCCTCCTCTTTTCCCTTCCAGTTCTGCAACTGTCAGTTTAATTATCTGACTTCCAAGCTTGTTTATGTCTTCCTCTTCAGAAGGTAGCTGGGGTAATGAAGGGTAAAAATGTTTATTTTGGTTTCTGTTATTTAGGCTTTTCCCCTCTGGAGCTAGGGGCTCACTTGCAACAGCACAACTTTCATCACATTCTCCCTTCTGTTCTGCTGAAAGAGAAATGGAACAGCAAGATGCATGAGTCAGTCAGAGGCATTTGTTATATATCTCATCTGAAGACCATCACTACCAGTGCTGGACCACAGAGATGTTTACCTCAGTAAGGCATTTTTAAAATTGCTTCTCTATCCCTCCCAGGCCTATTTCTTAGACAATAAACAATCAACACTAAGTTTCTTGCTGGATCTGGCCCTGTTTTGGATCCTGTCTCTAATATCAACAACTCTTAAGAGTCAGATAGTACCATACTGTAGAACAGCAAGGTCAGTCAAACAGTTTCAGAGGAATATAAACTCCAAGTAAAGCACTTAGAAATGGAAATTTCTGGCACACTGTACCATTAATCCCCTCATTAATCACTACCATTCAGGGGTTAACACAAGCTCCATTTATTTTGAGCTTTTCACAGGCTTTCATCCAATAACAAAGTCTTGTTATCTGTCCTGCAACATTTCTCCAAACATAAAAGATTATTTTGATTATGGTAACAGCATAAAACAAAGCAGCAGAAGAAGAATTTTAAATATAACATTAAACTAAAAGACAAACACTCAAAAACCTGTCAAAGTAGAGAAAACAGCGATGTGCAAACACCTTTGTGAAAGTGTCTGTCCATTAAAGGACAAGAAGCCTCACTGAAAACAAGCTTGTGCAGTAGAGTAAGAAAAAATTAGGAAATGCCAAAAATAAGTCTGCCTTGAGAGCTTAAAATGACTCTTGTCCTGCAGATACATACCTCTTAGTATATAAGAATTTACTCCTTTTCTCTCACAGGAATRTGGCCTCACACAAGGATGGGACTGCCTGGCTGCAGAGCACCAGCCTACTGTCTCTATCAGACCTGCCCCATTTAGAATTTGGGAGCTATTGAGTGAATGAGACTGGGATTGGAAGGGAACAGACACTGCCATCAATGAAGCTAGGAATGCAACTCTGAAGAGCTGGAGTTTAAGTCTGCGGAAAAGGCAGGGATAAATTAACTTTCAAAAGGTGATCACCCACTGGATCTAAGCCTCATTATCTGAGCAGTCAGCTGGAAAACTAGGAGCYTGATGTGCAGTACTGCTCTGCTTGTTCTGTACATCAGAGTGCTCCAAAAAGAGCCTAAATGTATGTACCTCAAACTGGCACTCAAAATTAGCAGGGACTCTACCTTCCTCTTTGCATGCCTCAGTTTCCTCCCTGTTACTGTAGGATAACACCAACCTATCAACTTTCTGCAATTTTCTGAAGATAAATTGTTTCAAAGCACAAAACAGCACTGTTGTCTTCAGGGAATGACTGAAACAGTGCCCAGGCAATACAGCAGGGACAAGGCATTCAACAACGGGGCAGAAAAAAACCCCAATAGCTGTTTGTTAGCAGCTCTGATGCTCAAATCCATCCCATGCATCGGATAAAGTGAGATTTGGTGGCACAAGACAGGCTTTAATTCATATGATTGTACTCTGTCATTATGCATTTTCACACAGGAACTTCACAGCAGATCCTACATTCATCCACCATCCAGCTTAACTGAAACAATGATAACAAGTACAGATTAAAGGAGGCTTTGATGAGACCCAGGGTAAGCAGATAGACTAGATAAAAAAAGCCTGAAAAAGCCCTCTGATTATCTGCAGATCTAGCTAGAGCAACAGTTGATGCATTACAAAAAGTTCATTCAAGAATAAATGTTCATTCAAAAGCTGAAAAAATTTGTCGGGTCGAACAGGCACCAAGTATCAGTACTACCCTTTAAAAGACCACAACTGACCAATGTGATACGAGGCCTAATATTAACTGTAAGTAGGAATTTCATTGCTATTCTGATTATCAATTGTTTTCACTCAACTATTATTCGATTAATAGGCAAATAAGAGCATACTTGCTTGGTAAAAGAAGGCAGATGAACACATTCCTACATTCTTCCCAKTTGCCAATGTCCCCTTATTTTGCAGGAACATGGAATAGATGAAAAATTGCAATTGCACCAAATTCTAAAGCTCAGCAGCAGTCATTCTCTGTGCAGAGCGGTACAAAAGGTAGCAGTGCATCATTCCCTTACAGATGCTGACTGCAGAGTTGTGTGACTCCAAGCACAGGGATATGCCCTACAGCTGAAAACACTCTCCTTCCTTTCCAGGCTTTGAATGAAGATGACAGCYCCAAACATCATTCAGAAAAAGCATCTGGAGCAGCAGAACGTTATTGTTGCTTCACCTACCGCTAGAAACGATCGTGTCCCCTGCACAGCTGGTGATATATATGTGCTCATCTATGTCACCAAAAATCTGGCCTAGTTTAATTTTCACAGAGGTAGGTTTTGTTTCAGTTCCAGCTGCAGGTTATTGGATATACTGTGACACACGCAAGGGAAAACCCAAGCTGTTGGTGCAGGCAGAACAGTAATTTCTTAACCTACTCCAGTTTAACAGCAGAATTTTTGTGATTGACCTTGGTTYTCATTACAGTCATGGGACAGAGAAGAGGAAAGAAGGAGATGACCTACTGGGAGCTGATTGTTCCTCTGACTGCCACAGGTCTAATCCTTGTCTATCTTTTCCTGTCCAAGGCTCTTCTCTTCCCCTACCTATCTCTGCTACTGCTCTATATCCCTTTGTTTATTCAGTCCCTATACTCACTTTGCCCACTTCTCATCCACCTTTCATTATTTTTTTTGTCACAACTTGCTTTCACTGCCAGGGTTCTGATTCCTCACTCCTGTGCTCTGACCTCTGCTCAGCCACATGCAAGTCTCCCTCCTCACTCAAACTTCCTTTGACTCTGTGGATCCCCATATACTCTAGTCTTCCCACAACCTGAGAGTCCTGATCTTCTCTCTGCTCCAGGCTTTTTTCCCTCTAAGTTGACTTTATCTCAAAGGAATGACCAGCACTGGTGGCACAAAGCAAGCTCGACAGAATCACAGGTTTATATTTAGCAGATGAGATTTTTAAGTGAATTCGTAGAATGGGGTGGAAACTGCAGACCGTTTTCTCAGGCTGGAAACTTTTCCCCTAGATGTCAAATTCCTATAATTATAGATATAGCAAATGCTTGCATATTTGGGAAAAAAAAAMCCAAACGTACAAAAGCCAAAAAAAAAAGCCCACAAAAAACCTCACGTGGTCATCAGTATTTGACACAAAAAAGATATTATTTGGCTGTCTTAAAAAAAAAATCAGCTGAAGTAGAAAACACAGYATGGAAAGCTTCAGCCCAGAGCTAAGGTTTGGCAGTGTTACAAAGCAACAACAACAGGGTCTGATGAGATGTGACAAGCAGATCAGACTGCCTGTCTGAGCAGCCTGTAATCACAACTGTAATACCAGCCCCACCTAGKACAAATATGGAAAGAAAAGAGCATAATGCCACCAAGTAAATACTTACAGTAACTGCAGATTTAATTAAAAATCAACAATTAAGTAGGTAAAAATAAGAATATTTATGAGTTATTATTAYTCACCAGAGAACGATTCATTACATTTTCACTTTGTATTTTTAACAAAAATATCACCTGATCAAGATTATAAAAAAGATCAGTCTGGCTGTCAAGTTTTATCAGATAATGGCATGGACTATAAAGTCAAAATTAAGCCACAATCTATTTAGTTTCAGACCAACAAATAAATTGTTTATGATGCTTCATGGTTAGCTGAAAAAGATCTGGGCATATCATAATGTTATGCCAATTAAGGAYCTTATCCAAATGCCAATAAGCAAGTATAATAATCCATCTCCCATCCATTATAAAAAACTAAGGAAAAAAAATCAAGGTTATCAGCAACTGTCAAATAAAGTTAAGCTTGACTTTGAAGAGATGTTAAAGCTTGCTCCTGGAGAAGGGTTTTCAACACGTGTAAGACTATAAAAAAACCCATCAATTTCTCTGGGAAAATGAGTTGGRTATTTCAATTTACCATGTGCAATCAGGAAGCCATTCATCTAGATAGCACCTATAATGCAGCAAAGTGCTAAACCAGTTCCATAGACTGCTTCCTACTGGGCGCCTTGACTGAGGGAAAAAGTGCAGGAATCAGTTAACTAACACAGATGGAAYGAATAACTTCTCACAGTATCAAGTTATCTAGCAGGAAAATTCTCTGAGGTGTAAGACACGATCCCTAGCCCTGTGCAATCTATTCAATAGTAACTTTTCAGTTGTYTCTTTGCTATTTGTGCTGGGACCATCTATCTGTTTTGCTTGTAGATGATTTATTCAATCTCTGTGTCTACTGAAACTTTGCCTTCTGCTATCCCAGCATGAAAATTGATGACATTTTATTTGGAAAGAAATGAGTGCTCAGCTCTCATCGTGTTCCTCATGTTCCTGATGCTCACCTTGTACTTCRGTTCTCTGTGGTTTATCAGGAAACGCTAACGGTGACCTGGAGCGCTGTAYCACGGGCAGGGCCGGGTCACTGAACGTTATCGTATCCTTCCCACCTGGAACAATCACAGTGTTAGAACTGCTACTCCACCAACYACATCCATTGTGCACTAATGATATTCAAACATACCCTACACATTTTTAACAATCTTATTGAAAAGTACAGAACAGGAAAAGCATCTCAAATGATCCTTTCACAGCATGGAAAAAAATACTCTCTACTGGAGCCAGAATATGCAAGGCAAATGGAGAAGAGGTGTATGTCTTTATCTGCAATACTGAGTAAAGACCCGATTTTGAAAGACCAGGTGCTGTATATACTAAATTGTGTTAGGAATTAGCATTCAATTAAAAATATTAATAATCCGATCATACCAAAAATTTTACAAAGAGTAATGGATCACTGGCATGCCATTACCAACAAGCGTTCAGCACCRACTCTTAACTGTCTATTATTCTGTTTCATGTGATACAAGCATTCATCATTATGAAGCTTTACACTTCAGACTTGCATATTATCCTGCAATGCTTCCTCAAAAAAATCTTAAAAGCTTAGCATAACTAAGAACTGAAGGAGCATACATTGCTGGGGAACAGGAGGGATTTTAATCAGAAAATTCCCAAAACATTTCTGAGCATTTTCGTTTTAAACCAAATGGAAAAGGCAATTTTCCAGCTCTTTTCTTGCACAAAATAGTGCAAGAAACCCTTCATCTGAGGACTCTGCTGTAGATGCTTAGTCTTTACATATTTTAGCAATACAGAAAGCAACACCTGCAGATCCTTTAGGAAGTCCTCCACTATTCAGGATGTTCACGTTTTTAGTGACTGACACTACCTTAAACCTAGAGGGGAAATGGCAGGAAATGTGCAAGATCAGCTAAGCGTGCTGTTTGTGTGGCCTCCAGAACAAGTGCCAACTGATAAGTAATGGCTGGGGAGGCAGCAAGATACTGCTCTATTTATCTCCATGAGAACCGACATTTATGTAACAACCACTTCGCCCCTCTAAATCTGTTTGCACGTTTCACCTTAAGGCAACATCCTAAATCTAATCACCCATCCAAGACAAAGACTTTCAAAAGAGCACCAGGTCAGGAGATACCCAGAATAAATCCAGCTCTGAGAAAGTTCTGGTGCATACTAAGGAATAATGAAAGTCAAGCTGTTCCCACGGAGTCTATAACCGAACTACTCTAATCCCCAACCGATTTTAAAGGTATTGGCTGCAAATATCTTGATCATGAAGGTAGTAATGATGTTTTTATACCCTTATCATGCTGGGCAATACACTGCAGCAATATGAATGCAATTAATACTTTTGAAGCACAGATCTTGTCAAACTTTGATTCCTCTGTCAAGTATGGATCAGAATTCTGCCTTCACCAGAGTAAGTAATAAAAACCACTATTAACCAACAGCAAAGAGGACAACCCTCCCACTTAAGACAAAATTAATTAAAAACATTAAAAAAGGCAAAACAAATCCAACCAAGGTTTCAAAATGCAAAAGCCCCTAGATGAATGTACTTTACTGTAACAGTGAAGGAATTTTGTGTTGGAAGAACTAAATCATTCAGGGAACTTGTGGTAYGAAAACACCCAACGGATATTCATACAGAGTCAGAAGCGGCTACATATCCAAAAAGATACAAAAGAATTCAACAGAGGAAGCAAAAAAAAAAAGATGAATAAAAAAATTGGGTAGAAGTTTTAATAGGAAAGTAGAAAGCTGAGGCTTTTTTATTTATTTTATAAAAAAAAAGTAAAGCCTGAGCTGAAGTCTCTGAAGATTGTAAGACAAGCTTCAAAAAAGATACTTCTTGACTTTCAGTCAGCATTTACACAGTAAACACATTTCCTTTCACATTTTTCTCTGAAAACCAACCTGGTTACAGAAAATAAAGCTAAGCTCAGTATCCACACATCTTAACAATAGATGTGGCCCAAAGAGTCTGATGCATATTTATTTAYTAACAGCGACTCACACCCATTCATGAAGGAGGGACACAGAGATACTGCTGCACTACATTCTGTGAATCATGATCTGAAKTTGGATTACACACAAGGAATTTCAACTAGCTACTGTGTAAGCTCAATTTCATAACTTGTATAGCTTCATGTTCCTCTAATGAATTTTTYAAGGACTATAGTGAGGACTACAGATCTCAAAATACATGTAAKTTTTCAGTAGTAGCACATTTTTCATTTTCTTCTCCAGGGTTGGGTATTCTCTTATAACCTCTGCTGCACCCCATTCCACTGTAACTGGCTACAAACACAGCAGCTGCAGAGTCCATTAATTCTACCTTCCCTCTGCTCTGTRCTGATTACTGCAGGGCAAGAGGCAGCACCAAAAGTCTCTTATCATCCCACACAGAAAAAAACTGACTCATGGTTAGCTCTTTCTTAGACTTTTTTTTTCAGTGAAAATCTGGAATTTTCAGGAAATGACAGATTAAAAAAAAAAAACAGCATTGCTCATTTGAATGCCTAGTGACATCAAATTGCCAAAAGAATAACATGGTGTTTATTGTGCACTATTACTGAATATACTTAACTTTTTGTGTGCATATTTCAACCACAATGTAGCCAAGATAAAGCAAAAAATTAAATGCTTTTGTGAACATAACATTCTCTGCTTCCTTCTCAAGGGAAGTAGGATCATAAAAAGCCAATCTATGCACAAACTTGCTTCCTTTTCAGCAAAGAAAACGAACCTCRCAAGAGATTCATTTAACTAAAGCACATTTTCTAAGCAGGGCAATATTAAGTCTGGCAGGCAGAACTTCCACAGAAAATGAACTATGCTACTGATCTCACCTTTTCAAAAATTAAATATGCACTTCTTGATTAGGTTCCCCATGGTTCATTCATGGCTTTCTCAAAAAATGTCACCTAACAAAAAACTAGAGGCGTTTAAGATCTTTCTTCAATAGGATCAAGTATATTAACAGCATTTGGAAGATATTATTATCATGGTGACAGTGGATATTATAAATGTTCTATAAACAATGATGACTAAGTAGGAACATTAACTTCAGATTAAAATCCTGCCATTTATAATGTGCTTTCCTTTCAGTGCTAGAATGAACATAAGCTTTTATCTGTTTTGGTTTTTTTTTTTTTTTAAATGACAAAAAATTCCACTTACAACCAAATAGTATTTTTTTGCTCTGGATTTAAGACTGACTAGATGAGATACTCTCCATGTTCTGCTCCTCACCCAAGCCAACATTCAGCTGCAGAATCCATTGTGGTACTACCACACTATTTGTTACACACTGCTGTTCTATGAAGCAGAAGCTTAACATGCTCTGAAAAGAAAATCGGTGACCCACCAGGTGTTGCAATGCTCTTTTTGACCATCTCAGGATTAGAGTGCACTTGGAAACAAAAGTGCACTCCTGATTTAAACGGCAAGCAAAAGATCAACAAACCTCAGGGCTCAACAGAACTCACAACCCTTTAAATTCCTTTAGAACTATTTAAGATCATCCTCTCTGACTATTTTCATTAATGCAAATTAATYTTCACATACAGCAGCCTCTATTTCTCCTGTGGTCATCTAACTCATTTGACTGAACACCTTAATCTACTGGATATAAAAAYGTTCAGATAACATTTCCATTTATTTACATGCAATGACAATATTTAACGTACTGCTAAGATCAGTTACTAAAAATATACATTAAGCAGAACCTACTCCCAAATCCCACTGAGACATTGTAGCTCAGGCCTTCAGGCAGCAAAAGAAAGGAAGGAAAGAGACAGTCGTTATTGTATAAACATTAATTTGATGTCTTACCTACCTAGATCAATATGGTGTAAGAAGTTCCCACTTTCATATTTTAAAATACATTTTGCAAACATGAGAAATGCTGCATTTATAAGTGTAAAAATTAAACGGAACACTGGTTTTGAAAAACAAAACAAAACAAAACAAAACAAACAAACCCCTACAGCACCTTGAACCTGTGAGTTTATGAGACATTTTTGTAGCAATGTACTAATCTGCCTTAGCAAGGTGTCAGACAAATATTTCATCTTCATCTTTTGTAGAATGTGGGGAGGGACAAATGCACTAAATAACACATGTTAGGTGACTAAATGGGGAGTAATCCATGGAAACAGATTTGGACCTCTAGTTCTGGAAAGATCAAGCAGGATTGAGAATGCCCAAACAGGCAGGCTCAATTAGAAACACACATCAGCCCAAACAGCTGGACAGCATAGGTTTGTTACAAGGGCTCTTCAGCTCTGTCAAATGTTTTCTTCTAGATGTGAAGGTTAGGTAGAAAAAACAGAGTCAAAAAACTAGCAACCTAAACCACTCTCTCCCAYTCTTACTACACTGATAGGAATCTGTAAAAAACAAAGCCTAATGATGCAAACACCAACAACGAAGTACCATAATTTACAGTGGTTAGAAGACACAATTAGGTGCAATGGGAAGAAAAGAAGTAAAAAAGTAAAAGTAAATTAAATATTGCACATTTTCCTAATAACGACATCTATTAGGAAGCAGATTAATCTCCCATTACTTGTGTAATTCAAAAGCGAATACAGGACTTAAAACACTACAGGGAATAAGCCTATTCTGGAGAGATGGACTAGAAAATTTAGGAGCATTTATATTTTCAGTTTCTAGGAGTTTATGATTCTACAGAAAAGCACTTAAAAAACAGTAAAAAAAATCCACGGAAGTTAGAAGAAGTACAAAATTAATGAATAAAATTGGTTGAAAAACATAATGGCCAATAACCTGTGTATCATTTTATGTAATGTTTAAATAAAATAGCTCACTTTTTTTTTGTCTGCTGTCTATGGAAATAATTTGACTGCTTCAAAATTTAAACCTTTTTTCCAGCACTTTTCATGTWATTTTCAATACATATTTGACTTAAGAGTTTACAAAGTCTAGTGATTTTTGCTTTTCAATTAACAATTATTAGACATTTCTAATTTCCCAAATGTACTGAATAGAACATTCACAAAATAACTACAATTAAAAAAATTACTCTTAAAAACCTCTCTTAAATGCAAACATRCCCTTTAAAATGAACTAATGCAAGATATTCTCTTGAATTTTTACTAACCTGGAAGACTCCACAAGCCAGCGATTTCCAAAGTTCTTAATTTCTTTTCTAGTTCTGCCACTCGATTACCTAGAATTCTTTGGAAAAAGAACAGTTGTTATACCCAGGTAACCAAAGCCTCATTACTTACATTATTATGGTTGAATTTTTAAATTGCTATTTAACTAGTGCAGTAAACCTGTATACAGTCATCTCTTTTCACCAGCAGCAATGGACAACCTCTCCCAGAGTTAAAAGAAAATGACATATATTTGACTATTCTATCCCACRCTTTTAAACAAGCAAAAGGCCTAGGATGTACTGGACATTCAACCTTTGTAGTAAAGACAAAGAAAATCAACTCACAATATTTCTATCTTTCTGTCTGCAAATACCATTATTTTCTTTATAGCTAAAACCAGAAGGTAAAAGCTACACTGACAAAATATGGAGAACTCAAGACAGCATCTAGATTGATTCTGAAGTTCCAAGACACTATTTTTGCTAGTCCTTTATTCAGGGAGTTTTCTCTATCACTAAGATTGCTTAAAATGACAAGGAATATTTTTTTCTACCACACCTTCTTTTTAGTGTTGAACTGCTTCCTACTTTACTAAAAAGCTTCAAGCTCTTTAGTGCCTTTATCAAYCACTCTTAATTTTCACTGCATTTCTTGGGCCATCTCTTCTTTTGTATCTGATTTCATACATAAATACTATTTGCAGTTAGGTCTCCTAGAGGATTTAACTTTTAGTCTTAATTCTCTCCCCAGATCAAATGAGAGATTTCTATCTTGCCAAGAAAGCTCTTTTATCCAATGAGTTTTTGCAAGTGTTTCATAGGCACAGCAAGTCTGCTAGAGTCAAAAGACTTTAAATAAATCCCAAACAATACTCAATAGAGTGAGAAACCTAGACAAGGCAGCAATTCTAAACATGAYAGCAGAGATTATGGACAGCAAGTTTTACTCATCAAATTACAGCAACAGGATAAGTCAGTTAAATTTGAACTGAATGCTGAGAAGCAGCATATCCCACCCCAGCAAGGCAATAGTATCTTCCCATGCACACCAGAGCTGTGTAATACTGCACTGTGAGCTCTCCAGCAAGGGCTTTATGTGCAGACATTTGAGCACACTGGGAATGTCATTACTGACAAGATGGCAGATTCTGGCAAGGACGTGAAGAATAGCACACCCAGCAAATATCAAAGGGGCTAGAAAAACTGATTAACAAGGACTAAGTATTTTTGAAATCTCCACTGTGAGAGCTTTGCAATGACACAATAAAAGCCTATCAGTTTTTTAAAGATTACAAAAGTATCAAGATGAGTGACAATATAAAACAGAAAGCTTATTATAAACATCAGAGGTACAGAGGTGTGTATCAACTAAAATGAACAGTCCATCACATTCAAAAGCAGAGGAGAAAAGACATYTGAAAGTAGTTATCATTATTTCCCCATTGAAACTCAGTAATCAAGTAGGTTAGAAAGTTATGATGGATCTATTACTGTCTTCTCCAATTAAAAGCAAAATTATTCACGTCTAGATTTCACTTTCAGAATGCTTCCATCTGGTATGAGAGACTCAGCTGTAATAACTGTTTTTATAACCATGACATCCAGCAGTTGTGCTCTGCAGTGTGACACAACAACTGTCAGCAAAAGGCAGGGAACARCCTCCAGGAAACTGCACCTTGTATACGGGGAGCCCATTGCCACCTTCCTGCTAAGGCCTCACCAAGGGTCAGCTGAACAATGTGGAGTTACCCAAGCTTGAATGGGCAGGGAACAGACAGACATGATGCAAGACTTCTTCTACATCATGTTAGTTCAGGCAGGGAGCTGGCAAAACAACACTGATTTGGCTAAAGATTGTCACCACAAAGGAGACAGAAGTCTAGCACTTCTAATCATTATTTTCCTAAGTAGTTCCAGGGCAGAAAACAGGAAGGATGSTGTTCTCCCTGCCAGCTAGCTATACCACAGATGTACACAAGATAACTCTTGTATAAAGGTATTGCTTGTGCTCCTGTTATTCAGGTAACAACAGAAAAGTCACTTTTCAGGTGCTTCTCTTAAATTTTGTAATTTATTTATCAGCTGTAMCACACTATTTCTAAAGGTTTTGGAGAGACTATATCTTGATTATACCTACTGAATTCTCAGAAGAGGCACAGAGTTGTTTTTTTAATCTTCATTGCAGCTTCTCATATAGAAGGATCATTTTGCGTCTCAGAACAATGGTTGGCAACAGCAGAAAACAGTATTTAACCCCACTCCTCTCATTCAGGAAGAGAGCAAAATACATTCAGYGATGAGTATGATTTTACTTTGCTTAAAAAAACCCATTATCTCAAGACCAGTATGGGAGAAATAAACCCTAAAGAAAGCTGCAAGTTCTTACAGAAATAAGTTTTGAAAGATAAATGCTTAAGCTATTCTGAACACAGTGTGTTTATCACATTTCTTCCTTTCCCCTGGGACCTCCATACATGCTGCAGGAAGACTGAGCTGTGGTGGCCTGGGTTGGCCTCCTTGGGTGAGTATTTTTAAAGGGGCAGCATGGGTTGGTAGCATCCAATTCCCTAACCCCTTTTTTATCTCTAGACAGAGTGGAACAGATTCTTCAACTACAACAGAAGGATCACGTCACAGACACAGGTGCTGAYAGCTACTTCCACTGTTCTCTGGCCCTGTGTCTAATGCAAAAAGGGAGTTAGCATAAACCTCCTTCCAGGATGAAGTTTTACAGAAATCCATTGTACATGTAACAGCAGCAATGCTCCCAYCTGACTTTAAAAGCTTCTTTCTGGCTCTCTCATGCTTTCCAACATGCATGGCCATAATCTGAAGGGAGCTGTAGTGATTTACAGCACCTGAGCTCCCTTYACCTCACTTTAATTTAGATTGTGCTACAGAAGATACACACCCTCATACAGACACCATCACCTAAATGCCTGTAAACAGGTCTGTCACGGTCCTGTATCCAGCTGTACGCGTCACACGGAAACATGTGCTCAAGTTACAGACTGACAYAATCCTTTTTGTGATTTTGGACATGCCTGAGCTTGCCCAAGCTAGAAATGTTAAAATYAGTGCAATATGTCTAACCACCAGAATACCTTTTATGCTGATACAGCTTGCACAGGTACTGACAATTTCAGGAACAAATTGCCCTAAAAAGAACATCTAATAAATGGTTTATTGCTGGTAGAATAAAAAAGGATATTTATTCATTGCTAAGCAGAGTTAGGACTGTTTGGTTTTGCATTTATGTAACTGTTTAATCTCACAACACACTACTGCATACAGAATTAATTTACAACTGACTTTTCAAATTAAGCTAATCGGCTTCTGAGGAAAACCACAGGATGGTACTTAWACTTAGCACTAGTAGCTACCAACCACCTTGGAAAAGTTATCTGTTTTCTTCCCTAACAACAACTTTTTTTCTGAAAACTGGGGCTAAAAAAATTGAAGACTGGATTTAGCCTACTTGTTCCTAGGCACATGCTCCCACAGTTCCTTCTATCATGCCACATTTTTAGAAGAGTGGCAATAATAGCAGTGTGTCTTTTCCAAGAACAAGTGGCAGTGCATGTTTTTAACAACTGTGTAACAACAAAAGGTCAATGTCAACACAACATCCCAATTCTGATCTACATTAAAAAAACCCATTGTCTTGTTATTATTTCAGTTATTTGGAAAGCAAAGGCACCATCCTGCTATTGTAAACTTATACAGTCAACTCACAATCTGCAAGCAAAGAAAGAGGTCTAGAATCTAGAGTAGGTTAACTATATGGAGGAAAGTAAGTTCATGTGGTCTGAAGTCTGATTTACTGATACTAAGAGAATCACTACTAGGTYATTCACCTATTGAATACAAAATGCAGAATTTCCTCCACGAATGAAACAACCAACCCAAAATCTCATGTTCTTTACCCAATAAATCTCACTTTCTTCAAACAACAATCTGAAAGATTAAAGGTGTCCTCCAAACATGCTCTTTGTACAGGGAAAAACTTCTGCCTTGTGATTTAAATAAAACTTCCTGTCACTTCAATTCTCTCTAGCCTCACATTCTTCTCAATTTCCTATTCTGAATGGAGAAATGTCTTCAACAAAAGAATGCATCTTCTACTAGTACCAGTTTATGAGCTTGTCTGTTTAACTTGTACCCTGACAGCCCTCTCACATCTAACTTTCTCCAACAGGTGGGCAGTTTCTTCCCCATTTTTACAAGTCAGCAGTCTTTTAACGTTTTACATGGTAATTARGTGTTCCCATTTATTTGCATCTCAAATAAAGGATGTTTTTGCTTGATGTCCTACCTGCATTTCCCTTTTTTACTTTAAAGTTTTATGTCTTAACTATTTCTACTTGTAGTGGTTCCCATTCATCCTAGCTCCTTAAAAGTTTCTTTAATCCAGCTAAAGCCAAAAGTGACAAAAAGAAGGAGAATGCCACATAGGAATATTTTTGAGGCTCTTCATTCAACTCGATCAAGATTTATCTTTCTTTCTCCCCGCTCCCCCCCACTCCGAAGCATCCTGAACAGAATACAACACTAGAACTCTGAGAACACTCCTCAGTGTTGGACTGATACGGACTGTCACTTCCCTCTAAGACTTGATCTTCTGTTGGCCATAGAATAGTAATTTTTGCATAAATCCAATCTCTACTCTGACGGCTTTATGTGACCATTTGGGCATGCAGACCTAATTGTGTCTCCTTGTGTGGGTTATCTCAAGACAACCCATACACAGGTGTTGAAAGCAGAAGAGTAGTATCAGAAAACAAAGCCATCATCACAAAGATATTTGGGAGCTGCAAGAGACTGCATATCAACAAAGGGAAATACAAAATTAAGAAAGAATGTTGCAAAAAAAGCATGATTATTCAAAATAAAATACTGGGTAGTGACACAGTATCCAGATGTAAATAGCAATGATTGGTTATACCTAGAACAACAAAAGTTGTTCTATGGATGTTTTCCTTCTGATGTTACTTTAGCAGTAAGAAGGGACTAAGCAGGTGTTAGTTCTTCCTTAGCACTGTTCTGTACAGCAACTATCCTTGCATCACAAGACAAGAATTGACTGAGTTAGATCTGGGCTACATTTTCACCACTTTGGTCTCCCTTTAGCTGATYAGGCATTTGTTGTCTCAAAAGTATTAAGAGTGGCTATAAACGGTTCCTCCACTTCTGTTGCCATCTCACTAAGACTTATGCAATGGAGTCTGTCTAGTATGTAAGTTATCAATTTTCAAAATGAATCATCCATTCTAGTGTAATACAGTTTACTTCAGTACTACTTCTTTTCAGGAAAGGTGTCTGTCTGGTCCTGAAGAGCTTTTGAGAAGCCTGAATAACGTCTGATTACCAGTAGTGACTCGGGGTTAAAAAAAACAATCCAAAAAACCCCATGCCAAACAAAACCAACCAAACAAAAAAAACCCCAAACCCGACCCCAAGCCAACAAAAAAAGAGAGGCGGTGAAACTGAGCACAAAATCAAGGAATACTTCGTAGCTCTGATTTTTATACACTGTRTAAGGACAATAATAAGGACAAAAATATATTCTGTCATGATAGGAACTGTACAAGCCACAAAGAATTCTACTGATGAGCAGAACAGCTAAGAGTAAACAAATTCTCCTTTAAAGGAACAATTAAAAAAAACAACTAAGTAACTGTAGAACAACAGGTATCACTTATATGACACAGGAAACTTAGTGTGTGTCAAACATTACATTAACCCTTTCAGACTCTTTCCTAGGAGCAACACTTACTGACCCCACTAGTGTAGGAATAAGAAAATTCCTATACTGTCAACCAATTACCCCATATCTTCTCTCTGGTTCAAGGATGTCTTTCCTCTCCAGAGCTTTTCTTTAGCTGTCTCTACAGACTTCCTGCTAGAAGTCTGCTCTGTTATTATGGCTTGTCTTAAGCCTGAGCAGCAAACCAATCCTTGCCTAGCAGTGGCAGACAGGTTGCTGTCAACCCCTGAATTTAAGATGAAAATGTATTTTTTCTCAAATTATATATCTGGTMTTAAAAACAAAAGAATATACAACTTAATCATGATGATGAATTTTCTATGAAAATCAAGCTTCCTTCCCATTTCCCTTAAATTGTCACCAAACTGACTTTTCCATAGCTTGGTATTTTACTTAGAAGTCATGCCACCTACTTGTTGGTTTGCCTTTGGTGTTGTATGACCATGTTTTTTTCATGGATGGTTTCCAGTAATGCAGTGGCCAGTGATTTGAGATCTGAAATGGATTGTGGTGTGGCTGGTAGGCTACATCCATGATCCTCCGACAACAACTCTTGGACTATAATGTTAAAAACACAAATGAGTTTTGGCTTCTTGTGCACAGAGATGCAACATAAACATTTACTTAGCATTAAGGAACTATTCCAATTACTTAAATGAATACATGCACTTTTCCTTCAGGTAACAAACAAAGCCAAAAGACCACAACTGTWAATTCTAGCTGGTGTAAAGATGGTGGCTTTCCAAACTGCTTGTTACTCCACAGCAATAGCCATTAAAACCAAAGCCTCCAATGATTATWTTATATTAATCTTTAGAACCATTATAACCTTCAGGTTATTTAAGACTGATGTGAAAACACAGTGACCCAAAAACTCTTCATCTGCAACTTAGAGTCTGTACCTTTCAGCCAAATCAGAAGTTCACTAGCATTATTAAAATGTGAAACTAGAATCTGGCTCTGCTTCTTTACATATATATATATATATATACGTAAGCAAGCACACGTGAGAAAAGGAGAGGACAAAAGAGAAAAATTAGTTTCAACTTACCATGACACTACTGATCTCATGTGTGTGTATATGAATATACATACATTTAAACAATAGGGTGTTTAAAGGTATACTGTTTGCTTCAAAGAATTTTTTCATTCCCTTTCTTTCCTAATCTAGATATTTTCTTTGAAATGAAGAAAAGAGATTTTTCTATTATGCTGCCCGTGAAAAAACATGGGACACAAAGATTCCCGTGAAACATCTGAACATAAAAACTTCCAAGGACAGTAGCAGAAAACCTGACTTAGAGACCCTCCTCCATGACCCAGTCTATTCTTCATTGGAATGTGAATTGTGACTGCCATTGTTAGCAGAGCAAAGAGATGAATAAAGATGTGATTTCTAAGGGCCTAGAGAATAATGAAATATTTGATAAAACTAAAGGAGGAGAGAATGAATGGCAAAAGAATTAACAAAAGAAGAAGCAGTAATCCAGAGGCAAATTTTATATTGCCAAGTAACTGAGGACAGAATTAGCACATAACAATAAACAAGGAAAGAAGAGAGAGCTTTTTGTTTGGTTGGTAAGGAAGGGGTTACTGAAATTCAGAGGTTAGATGAAAGGAATTCAATGAGATATGCAACAACATGTTGCATTTATGCAATACCTTGCTTTGCAGAAAGGACTCCAGTCAGAGCACTGCTACTGGATCTACTATGAGTCTTTGAATTTTTTCGTCTCTCTAGTGCATTCTAGGGAAACAACAAACACCTTATTTAGAAAAACAGTAGCAAACATATCCTGTCATTAGGAGGAAAGAATCTGGAACTTTGGATTTTGGTCTCAGAGCAACTCTGCAGGGCCTGGAACTTATACCYACAGGAAACTAGTGATTCTCCTAGATTACTATTCTCCAGCCTAAAGTCTTTGCAATGTTACAAAGACTCATATGTCTCATCACTTTACTGCAGTCTCTCCCACCCACTCCTCCCAATGCATATTTAAGACATGCCTAGTTTTTAATAATCTGATGACTGCCAGCAAAGATACTGCAGTATCCTTTAGAGAACACCAGCCAGAAACAAAATCAGGCTTTTCCCAATATTTCTTTGGATAKGTTTCAAAGGGAAAGTTCCTCCTCTATCAAAGCTTCTAGAAGCCCTTTTAGTAGCAAATACTGACTTTCAGGAATTAGAAGCAGAATGATCCTGCCACAGAAGTCTGGGTCTTTCAAATACAATTCTATGAAACCAGACCACCAAGATGCTCAATTCTCCCCAATAAACTAATTCACATACCCAGAGACCCAAGTTGCAAGTGTGAACAGACACTGAAATGAAGGTGGTACTTTGTGAATCTTTGCTCCTGCACAAAAACCAATCAATGTTGTGGCTACTTTTTAGTGACCTAAATGAAGAAGTCATGTTGACAATCCTAAGATTATCCTTCTCATGGTCTGACAAGCAGCCTTCCCCTCCCACTCTCCAAAATCACCTGCAGAAGGAAGTAAGAGTGCACAGCTTCTGGGGAGAGCAAAAATCAGTCCTGAAGGTTTCGTATCAAACAGCATAACCATAACTCCGGAATGGAAGAACAATGAAAGCTCATTAAGCTACATGAAGAAATCACACAGCCACCAGAGAACAGGGAGACAAGATCTTTTTGTGATGGCAATACAGCTGCAGTCATTCACCACTGCATGATCTGCTACTTTTCACCTATCTGCTGTCTGGAAGGCTGATCACCTGCCCCTCAGCAGGAGGATGGTTCCCCTGCAGAACTTAAAAAAGGTATTTAATAATTTTTCAAAATACTCTTAACAGGTATCCCTTTGCACTACCCTCAGCTAAGAAGCCTACAAGGAAGAATGAGAACATAATTACGTACACATACTAATATTGTCACAATGTTAATAGTGGATTTTTCTTGCAAGACACAAATTTGTTCTCTAAACACATTTAACATRAAAGTGAACAGTAACTTCCATGAACAATGAAACACAGTTTAGATGATATACTGAGAGGATCTTACCTTATATTTAGTAATACTGGACTTCAGAAGGTTGACTTCCTCTTGAAGTTGTTTTAATCTCTCTTGAAGATACCTGAAAAAGAAATKTAATCCTTTACTTCATGTTACCTTCAAGTACTGCCTCAAGCGGTCCTCTTTCCTATTTGGCACGTCCTCTCTTTGAACTACTGAGAGTTCTTTTCCCTCTGCARCTCTGTGAGGGATGAAAAACAAAATCTTACTGCTCTTGACCCCATAAAATTTTAAGTAGGGAAACAAATTGCATCGGAACAGGAGGCTGCCCTCCTGTTAGATTTGTCAAGCATGCTGCACAACTATTTTGTATTGGTCGTCAGGTTTCTGGGGAAGAAAGCTAAAACAATATATTTATGTCTAGAGCATTTACGCGTGTCCTCTGTACTTGAAGGTCTGTGAGATGGACACATGAAGACTTGTATATATGTCAACACAAGACTCAGCTATGCAGAACTTTTGCACTGCAATATCCATCACTTACTTGGCACTTCTCATTAGCAATCACAAAGTAGAAAACTTAACAGTATAGKTGAAAAATGGTACACAGTTAAATGAAACAGAACAGTTCTTCCTAATAGAGTTTATGCATTTGGATGAGACAGTTATTTCCAAAKAGGAAAATATCTCTTTTATGTACAAAGGGTTTATAAAATATCCTCTTTCATGTAGTACAACTGCAGCTGTATTAGGGTTTGTGACAATTTAATTATTTCAGAAAAAAAAATTTCATATCACTGTCAGGGGAGCAGGGGTCTTAAATTCATACAGAACTCTGTAGGCCACACAAAACAAAAAAAAACTGTGAAGTTGCTGCGAAGAAGTAATGCCTTTGGTATTACACTTTCTTGCCTGAAGCGTAAGTTTTTSTAAATGGAAAGTGATTTCCAAGTTCTGTGTCACTTTAAGGAAATTGTTGACATTAAGGGAGATACCTGCTATGGTTCTGTCAGTGACTCCTCTCTGTCATCCTTAGTGGAGACCATAAAACACATTCTTTTCCCAAGAAACCAGCAAGAATATCTACATGGGTGATTTCACCAGCAACTTTTGTTGGCAAATCACTCCATGCTGACAACCTCTCCCTAYGGAGAAAATTATGTCTGAAACTGTTAACTCAGGGTACTCCAAGTCCCTGTTTCCAATTCAAGAATAGCCCATTACAGCTCACTAGGAGTTTACACAAATTTTTAATATTCTTGCTTTTGGTGCCATATAGTGATGTCTTCACTCCTCTTCCTTTTCCTTGTTTAGCTTTATTTGGGAACATCACTAACATCTCTGTAGCCAAATACAACATTGGTAATTTCCCGCAGCCTAGCTTTCTCAATATTGTTTAATGCTTAGTTACAGTATAAACAAAACAGACAGAACACATTACCAAAACCTCTTAGTTTTTATTCTTGGATATATTTTCTTTAAAGTTTTGTTCTGACTGACTTCCTGATATTCCTATCACAACAACACAGGTTTTTTTAGAGAAATAGTAATGCACTCACCTGTTCTCCATACACAGAGCATCTATGTCAATGATACGGTTTTCATGTCCTCCTAAGACATGATTCAGTTCTTGGTTTAGTCTGTCAGACTTATCTTGGTAAACAGAGCGTTCCTCTTTCACATCCTGTAACTCATCCAGTGCAGCCTGAAGATCATATCTCAGAGTCTCAATCTGAGAAGAAAGGAGAGTTGTGTCAGTGTAAGTTTAAACAATAGCTAACATGACACTCAGCCTGAAAACAGCAACAAGCACATGTCTGAACAGTATTTATTTTGGACAATCARAAGTGTTTTAAAAGCTCATAACCCCAGGTATTTTTACTCAAGTTTCAGTAACATTTCATTAATTTGGAATTAAATAGCTTTACCAATTAGATTTGTTTTACAAAATTTCTAGAGAACAACTGAAATGTAACAGCAAAAGAAACCTCAGTCCCTACTACCACAATTCTGCTACAAACATATTAAGCTTTTATCATATAATTTCTAAGACTCCGAGAATTAAGTCAACTGAATAAGAACTTGTCAAAAAGTGTGGGAATTTATACCAATTATGGAACTTCAGCAATGAAGTTTCACAGATTAGGAACTGAGAAAGTACAAAATAAGCCAACAGGGCTTATGGAGGCAACAGGGTGAGCTTTGCCATTTAGCAAAAGAGTGAAGAAGTGCAGTGTGCAAGATACYCAAGGACTAAGAGCTTCAAACTTCCAAAGAGATCAAACTGTGAGTGTGAGAAAAGCCTTCAGTGACAGAAGTCTTCATCTCCCCAGAAAACACGGAAGCCAGAAAGGACAACAGACCATCATTTAAAAGAGGCTGGGTGATGAACAGAAAGAAYACAAGCTTGGGAACAGAGTTAGCAGAGAGGATCACACTGGAAAAAGACCAACAGCAYTTCTGGTAAGTACAATGGTGCTGCAATTGAGTGAAGACCTAAAAAACCAGAAATACACACCTCTTCTGGATCTTTGAATGGCTCATTCAGGTTGGAACTGACATTGGCAGGAATGAGTGTGGGAAAAACTGAGAACACAGACTCATAAAACTGTCCAGAAATTTATGTATAAGTATTAGGGGAAAAGTCTGATGCTGCATGGTAAAGAGCATTCATACAGACTTGAGGAAGAGGAAAGAGGTCTGATGTGAGAATTTTTCAGAAGAGAAGAMATAGCTTGGAGGCAGGAGGAAGACGACACTAATAATACTCCTACAGAAAATTTGATTCAGAGGGTATCTTTAGGAGATGCATCAGCCACTCTACACCATGTAGAATACTTGTAACAGCCTTCACTAAAGGGTACCTTTCACTGACATTCACTGGCAATACTCAATTGTCACAAGTTGTTGCTGGATATTAAAAAGGAGAATCAATAATCTAGAGAAGAAATTACTGGGATTAGGAATTCACTCTAACCACTACTTCCARCGCCAATCAGTTACCAGCCCTTCAAACACAACAGAAGTCATTTACTTGCTACTGCAATAGCCCTGTAAAACATGACACTATACGCCCATTAATTATTACTTGTTCTCGAGCCTTCTCCAACTGTTGAACAAGGTCCTCCCGTTCATGTGCTGCAAAGTGGCGAGCCCCAACTTCATCATCTCCCAGTCTTTGCTTTGCTATGGTCATTCGAAGGAGCTGCCACGAAAAAAACAGAATATGGTAAGCRGGAGAGCATAGGCTGTAGCAGCAGAGTACATCTGTATTAGAAAGAGTAAARCTGTCATAGATTTCAGCTCTTCCAGGTCAAACAGTTGGTATTATTTAAACCAGAGGGAGTCTTCTGACCTGAGAGTTCAATCCTGTTCTCAGTGAAAAAATTCAGTTGAACAGTCAAACCATTGTTGCTGGAACAGTCACCAGTGTACAAATGMTGAAAGACTAAGCAAACACAGACATGTGGTCTATGTTTTTTAGGAGTGACAGGAACTAATTCCACTCTGACTAAAACTAGAAAATTATCAGAAAGCCTTTTCATAAATAAGTACATATTAAAATTCTTTGCAGCATAAAACTCTTCCTAGTTAATAAAAAGGAACTAAGTGGCTTGTCCAGCTTCATTTTACTGATACTACATAAAACGTGCCCTGTGCTACATCGGTGCAGAATCTGTATTAACAGCTGCTAATACATTTGCATTATTTTTTAGTCCGCTCACAAAAACTAATTCACGTCAAAAACAAAAAAAAAGGGCCAAAACCAAAAAGACTCGGCCAAAATGCTCAAGCAGTTAATGAACTCCTGAGCTTATGACTGATGAAAACAGTCTGACTTGAATTAATACACATTTACATTCAATATCCAAAGCAAAAAGCAATGACCTTTCAAGAACCATGGAGTATTAAACACCAATCTATAAGACATTCAGCAGTTACAGTTGTCTATACTCAGTACAACTAGGCTTCATCTTTAGGAGCTCCACAGAGACCAGGGAAGCCCACCACAATAGCCAGCTTGACTTTCCCTGTATCTTTGACTGCATCAAGGGAATTAATGCACATCATTACATTGCAGAGTTAGGAAAAAAAAATCAATCTTATGAAGTAGAAGATTGTACATTAAAATCTATCTTTGGTATTTATGGGATGCCAGTCACCATAGCTACAGTGTGCCAATTAAAATCCTGCTGATGCAAGACAGACTACCAAAATCATCCTCCCCACTAATTTCAGCTCCAGTTCAGTGCAAGTCACTGAAGCTAGTACAATGTGTTCTGATAAGCTGTTCACTTGTTCAGGGGAAGCTGTGGCTGCAAAAGTAACTGGTTTTGGCAAACTACATTTCCCTATCCCCACAGGGAAAGCACAAACCACTGTACAGTTAGTAAGGCTGAGTGGATACTAAGAGATATAACTCCTATTAATTTCTTTATTGAAACAAGTAAGTCAAAAAGGCAACTAGCAAATCCCAGAAAGGCTTCATAGCTATTGGATGTTTTTTAAAATGCTGAAGTGGTGATGAACAAAAGGTGTGGTCATGTAATTTAATTCAGACAGAATAATTTAATTTCTAGAATGTCTCTCTAGTGACAAAGACCACATGAAACAAATGTAATAACATTTTGAGGTTTATATCTTGTTAAAAAAAGCCTGGAAATGGAAAGAGGAATCACAGTTTACTAATGCCTCCAGTGACTGCAGCAGAAACTTCTGCACAATGCTTGGCATCAGGCTGGGAACTGGACCAGAGCTGTCATTCGTACTATGACCAATTCTCCTCCAGCCCAGAAGGGGGTGAGGCATAAGATATGACTGTAAGCAATTAAAATTTGCAAGGTCAAGCAGTCTGTCAATAAAAGAACTCTATTTACAATGAATTTTGAGGCACCCCCCAAACGAAAAAAGTCCTATGAAAAGAATGCTTCAGAATTCCAAATTCATCCAGTAAAAGCAGAATTATTAACATACACAAAATACAGTAAAATACCAATCCATAAAACAACAGAGTGCTTCTTCCAGACAGTTGGCCAATCAGAGAGTTGACAGGGCAGAACAGGCCAAGTCGTTTAATTCTGCATTGCGAATGTCTCATGAGGCAGCACCACCTGCTATAAAATTCTTCCCTGAAAATGCTGTGACCCAAAGAGACACTGYTATGCCAGAGGTTTAAGGGTTTATTTTTTATATTAGTACTTTGTTATAAACTTTATACACTTGCCCTCTAGCTGCTGTATTTTTATTTCTGTCATTCAGAAATCACTGAAGAAAAGACTACTCCTCTCTGCTAGAGAATAGGTTAACACTACCCTCACGAATCTGTGACCAGCATTCACAGCTCAATGGACTTAAATTAATGGCACCTTACCAGAGAAAACTCCAGTTTGTCAAGAACACATAAAATGTTAACCAGAACAATTTTTATTTTGGTATCACAGGTTTTTCTTTCTTTTCTTTTTCTGTTCCTTTTCACTTTCAACTAAGACAATTACTTACAAAGTAGCAACACTGTATCAGCCCCATAATGCTCAAAAAATGCTTTACTGGGATGGCTGCTGTGCAGGCTACGAGTCCACWGACAAAGCCCGCACCAAAGCTGGACACTCCTGATTATCAATTAAACATGCAGAAGGAAAAGGGAAACAAGCACAACCAATTCTTCATGRAAGGCAGAAACTATCACGTTTCACCACAGTCACAGCAATTGTCTTCCCCATGTTATCTACAAAATCTTAAAATGTGAAACAGAACTATGCAAACATGCTACCTCAAGTTCCAGTTTAGCCAAAACATACACACCACATCTAACATTTCTCCCTTTTGCTGCATGAATGACTGTCTGCCTAGCAATAAGGAACTGACAGTAACACCACAGCCATTGTTTCCCATGCACCTTCCTCTAGCTCAGCACTGCTCTTGGCAGCTTACAAAAGCAATTCTTTGCGTGGGTAGGAGTTCMGGTGAAGGCAACTGAGTCATCTTGTCTTGCAGAAGTTTCCAGTTTCTCTTAAGCTTTCCATTTTTACCCYTTTACATGAGAGAATTAGATTTTTTAACTATCTCCTTCTATATTTTAGTAATTGCTTCCAAGCATTGCTGCCAAAACATTAGGAAGGAAAAAGATTTACCAATAACTACCACAAATATAGAAGAGTTTTCATGTGTCAGAACTTGTAAGATTGTGATCAATCATAAAAATAAATAGTCTTAGATATCAGTTGCTGGAATGCTGCAGTCTAACTGYTGCTGTATTTTTCAAGCTGCAGCAACAGATCCTTCCAGAGACTGAAGAAGTTGTACTTCTTGTGCCAACAAAAATTCTACTTGAAATGAGAGGAAAAAATTATTCCAGTTAAACCAAATGCAAGCAATTTGTTATTGCCTAACTGATGATGTGTTTAACATGATTTCAACAAATAAAATACCTACAGTTCAAGGTCTTCTTGCTAATCCAAGTGACTGTATCCTACTTGTAGCAAACATTAAAGTGGTGAAAAACAAGCCAAGCCATCAAAACATTTCTTTATCAATAGAGCTAATGTGTGATATTTAAAGAGGTTTTTTTTTTTCTTTTTTAGTTCTGCAAAGCTCTTGCCACTCAGTGACAAAGCCTGTATGAGTCACCCCTGCTCAGACACAGGCAGAATTGTTCATCCATAAGCAGCTTCACTTGCTGCAAAAGCAGCTGTTTGTTCATCTCTTGCCAGAAGTAAGGCTGACGTAGACCAGCTGGGCAGGATGCCCTCCCTCACTTTGGAAAAAGCAGTGAGAAGAATGCAGGGGAAAAACGTAAGAACAAGCAAATTACTATAGTTTTTTTTGTTTTTGTATATACCATGCATTATCTGGACTCCAGTGCCTGAGGTASCCCAGCTGCCAATACAGGAGAACTGATGAGCAGAATGGAATGGCTTTGAGAACAAGCCTAGAATTTTATCACCAAAGCTTKTAGGGAGAAAAATCTGACACAGGAGGAGAGTGTTAAACCCCTCAGAGAGAAGGCAATGCTTTTTTAGGCACTTTGAAAAYCAGCAACCTGACTCTAAAATAAGCTCAATTTCTCATTTACTAGGAAAGTGAAGAATGTGTTCCAAAAATGAAAATCCTAGTCTAAATTAATCCGTGTCTGATGCAGCTCTTTCCTCCCACTCTTTATTTAGTGATGCACTATTTTGCACCTTTTGGAGAGAGGCATGCTGGGCAGAATAACTCCTTTTGTACTTTTCCATTCATACTGAGCAGCATGAATTTAAATTCATTATGAGAATACAGATGTCACGAAGATGAGCAGCTAATACAAAGTTAACCCACAAAGGTGGACCTAAACAGTGCCAACTCAAGCACAAAGAAGTAGGCTCTGTGTCACCAATATCCACCCCAAGACAATCATATATTGCCATAAGGAAATAGAATAGGTACATAACCTTGGTATTTTAAATGTGGGTTAGTTTTACTGCCTTTCTTTTCTGCTTGTACTTATAAACCCTCACTATCTGTTCAGGAGTGGCTTGGGAAAGGCTTAATATCAGTACTGAAGAACTGCAAGGCTCTGACTTCTACACTGTAATATAGTTCAAACATGCAAATGAAAATAAACAGTGGGAAACCTGGTCTTTGAAGACTTGAGCAAGTTATGCTGCATACTACAAATTCAGGTTTCACTCGACCCTTTCCCAGCACTCTAAACCTGCATTATCACAATATATTTATGTTTAAAAGAAAATAAATAAAATAAACTTAAATGGAAAGAAACAAACCCCATCTGAATAATTAAAAGCCACGTCATTCTTATTCACATTTTAAAACCCCATAATTTTAAAACTGTAGTTGAGGGAAGAAAGTTAGCATTACTTGTTTCAATTTTTCACTTTGTTAACCACATTGACTCCCCAGTTCAATCTCTCACTGGTTTGATCTCTGAATGTACTTTTGCATAAAGCTCCAGCTGTGAATGTTACACACATTTGGCTTGACTTTAAATATTTCAATTAATGGAGACAACAGGAGTTTGATTAATACCAAATGGCAGATTTTGAGCAATGTTCCACATAACTTGCTAAATTTAGCAATGAAATAAATTGGTTATGTAAGGGTAATGGGATGAGGGCTTAATAAAGCCCACCATATTTGTTTCTGATCAACTACTCCATATTTTTAAGGGAAAAATGATGTTCCTCTGGCATCTACTAAAATTTTACATTTCAGTGAAAAAAACCTGAAAATTACTACATGAAGAAGACATGTTTATCTGTACTTATTTGGAAGAGGAAATACCACTAATAAGATATGGTTTGTTTTTTTTCTTTTAAAGGAAGGAACATAGAAAGTCTGAGAGCATTAAAACAAGGCTAGGTACAAAATAGATAGTTAAGAACAAAAGAGCAAAAGCAGCATACAAAAATATATAATAAGCTGCAGTTACTGCTATCCTTTACAAGCTYTTGTTCTTCTACTGTTCTAATTATTCTACAAGCAGTCAAATGTAACCCATTATTTTGTCTTCCAAAGAAGTAAATGCAAAACTGTAGAGCAGTTTACACATTCCAAACCATTTACAGGCAGTTTTTAATACCTTATTGTCCCCTTGTACTTCTCCCAGTCTCTGCTGAAGCTCTCCAATCTCTTCTCCAAGATGYTTATTTCGATCTTGAGCCTCACTCAGTAGTTGAGCAAGATTTGCCTAGAAAAGGAGTAAATACCAGTCAGAAGTCAGTGTCTGTGAAGAGAAGCATAACAGTGATTGAAAAGAAATCTTTGAATTACTCCTTACCACCAACAATCTTTACTTTTATTGTTGGTGGTACCCAGAATTCACACTTGATATTAGAGAGATAACAAGAAAAGTCACCTGAGTTCCTTTATCTTTAATAGTAGAAAATACATATGGCATGTGTGCATACAGACTCCCAGAACTGCACACAAATCCCAAACAAGACAAAGTGTAAACATCTATGCTAGTTCCAGTATCATGGCTGATGGGAAGAATTAAATTCAGAGTACTTTGCCAATATTTATACAAAGCTGCCAAAATAATAGCTTTAAACTTGCATGTAATTATAAAAAAGGCACAGCTGAGAAATAATTATGATACAAATGAAGTCCTTAATAGTGTTTAGAGCAGATTACTAGCCAGTGAAGAGATTGCCAGCCAAAGTCCCTGCCCCTGTATTAAGTCTAGCATGGATATCTACTAGTACAAAACTTCAAACATGACCTTTTTTGTGTTGTTAGATATCACCTAGATTCTGGAAAAATACAGGTGAAAGCTAGAGTTTAAAAATAAATTATTCCTCTCCCCACCCAATAATCCAGGTAAAAAGCAATCAATCCCATTAACCTACTAAGTTCACAGGGCGAGAAGTCTGGTCTATAATCCTACAATTAAATTCCATCAGCTTGATCACTAATCAAAAAATATATGCAATCTCCTCTTTTCCTATTCATGCTGTCTCAAAATGAGYAAATACTACAGATAAATTTATTCCATTTTTACCCTAAAAATGTCTCTCGAATACACAAACATTGACTCAGCACAGGAAAAGCCTACTGATGACAGCTCTTCTACAAGAGTTAGAATCATAGTGGCTAAGGTGCAACCTTTCAAGACATTGCCTATGGATAGCTCGGTGTGTCATCCATTGCCATAAACCCGAAGAGTATGAAAAGAAATGAAAAAATAATTTTTAGATCTTCTAAGCATGACTTGGTAAAGCCTCATGAGTCAGTATATCTGAGCCACCTTATACATCCTCCCTGGGTTTGAGGCCAATGCATCAACTGACTGTAATTCTTCAAGTGACTGTTCCTAGTTCTCTCTTGGTATTTTAGGTTTAGTTTTAGATTCACTCCTTGCCATGCTTCTCTTTCAACCCCCCACCCCMATTTCTCTATTCTGACATCTCTCTTTCAACCTGACTCTTTTACCCAGTGATTCTACAACCACTTGAGTCTCATAGGATGTTTTCATTAATTTTATCTTAACAACTCATACACTAYCAAACCAACAAGGTATCTGATAGCCATTACTGCAATCTTGTTCACAACTGCTATTTCTACATGTCCTGCTTCACAAATAAGATAACTATTAAGAGGAATGTATTAATGTGAATAGTAACATGAACATAACTGYGCATGCATCTGATCATTTGCAGGATTATACTATCAAGCTATCATCAACTAGAACTTTTGTATATTACTATTGAAGAAGATAACTCCAAATTCCAATTGGTCTAAATTAGCAATAGCTTCAAACTTTTAAACASGAAAAATAACTTGAGAAACTGACAACATCCTACTTGATGACCAAGGAGCCTAAGTCACTGCTACAGTTTCTGTACTTCTGATGCTTTGAGACCAAAAATTCAGAAGAAAGTCAGGTAAATATTCCACAGTTTTGGAAGAGATTAAAGAATTTTTGAAACTACCAACAAACGTGAAGACAGCAAATAAATAATTTGGGGGAAAAGTGTAATAGCAAAAGAACTCCCATAAATAGCCAGTTACAGGAGCAAAAATAGGATGTTCCTAATTTTACTTTCAAGACAACAACCATTCAAGCAATGCAAAAGATTCCTCAAGTATGCTTTGGCAGACTTATTTTTTTCCTAAATCTTACACAAATAGTGTAATAGTCATTCACATAATGAGTGAATCAAGGAGCTTCAGAACACATTCAATAAATGGTTTTSAGAAATACTTCCTAATGGCTGTTTAAAAGAAAGAAAACAAAGAACCCATGTTTGCAGGAAATTGTATTTAAACTGATATCTACGTCTACTGCTTAGATGCAATTTTAAATTTTTTTAAGAAAGCTGACTTTCAATAAAGCCTGTGTTTGTTAAAAGGAACATGATTTGCACAAACCTCTCTGAAACATTGCTATTCATAAAATTCCTTTCATGATGAATTGGAACAACTCCTAACACTGCAACAGCACATGTAATTTCAACACCTGGAAAGAACTCAATCTCAGTAATCAGTGTTTACAACCATAACACCAGGATTTCAGCAGTCTGTAGTTAAAACCTGGCTCCCAGTAACGGCAGGAAAGGCATTACCATTCCTGTAGTAAATCTTCCTGCTCAGATTTATTTCTTTTAAAACCATTTCTCTTAGATTGCAATTCTAAGCTGAATTTTATTTGTCAGTCACATAAATGACTTAACGTGACAAAAACCTTTATACTCACGACAGAGATTTTGGAAGAAACTTGAAACAAAGAATTTTAGACAACAAAATAAACCAGCCTTGTTTGACCATGCCAAGAGCATTACAATGAGCTAAGTATAGATTTGCTCCTTACTGCAAGCCTTGTATTATACTTCTGTTAAACTGAAACAACAAGCAATGTCACAGAAGTAGTTTCCAGCAATTAGTCATTTCCCTGGCTTACAGGTTCCATACAATGTATAATTTAGACTGTTCCAACTTTCAAAGGTTTTGGCAAGACCTTACTGAAGCTCTTGGTTAAATGTGGATAGAAGGAGAAATGTTTGATTTTCAAAAGTACTCTACTGGGCTTAAAGAGAGCCAGCCAAGAGAATATGTTGAATGATACCTGGACTAGGTACCATTTCTTTGGCATTCATAAGAAAACATACCGTATGGTTGAAAGATGATAAAACTAACAATGGAGGTATGCCTTCATGAACTTGCAAGCATGTACTTTTTGAAGAAAGGGGAGAAATCTATGCAAGGGCAAAGGCAATTCATTTTTCCATTTGGCAACTTCTTTTCAGTATTCATAGAACAAACACAGAATTCACTGAGAAATCCAAGACAAGTTACTTCAGCAGACAATAAAACTCATATCATTTACCTGAGCAATAGAGAACAACTCCTTGCAAATTAGCCAAATTCAGCTTCTCTAGACTCAATTTCTTTGACAGTTTCTTTTGATTTTAGGTGAAGCCTTAAAAAGACTCCTAAAACTGTGAAAGACTTACTTCTTTCACTCATACTAYGCAAAACTAACTCTAAAGTACTCATGAAGCAAGATTTCTGAACCATGGATGAAGAAGGGAAAGAAGCAGAAGTCTCTACCTTCCTCCTGCCTTCTCTTGTGTTCCGTCCGCAACAACCTGCAGCAGTGGAAACTGTTTCACATACCTTCTCTCGGTGCAAGTGTTTCTAAAACTAAATAACAAGCACTGCCTCAGTCCCATTAGTGATCAACTGACCAATATCAGACAAGCTYCCAGAGCTCTATCCACATTGCATTTCTGGCAGGTTCTCTGAAGCCTCTGCAGCATGACAAGCTATTTGTTTTACACCCATCTGTCATGGGAAGCTTGCATGTATCATAGACTCATAGAATAGTTGGAAGGGACCCATAAAGATCAAGTCCAACTCCCTCCATCTCACAGGACTACCCTGACACAAAGCCATATGACTGAGAGCGTTGTCCAGATGCTGCCTGAACTCTGGCAGGCTGGGTGGTGCAGCCACTTCCCTGGGAAGCCTGTGCAAGGGCCCRACCACCTTCTCAGGGGAGCATGATTTAAGCACAGTTTAAACCCCCACAGTGCTAGACTGAAGACACTGTCCCCATATTCCTTCTTCCTCTGATCAAATGCAAGAGCAACCATGGCCAACAATCCCATCAGAAGCTAAGRAGAAAGGAGAAAAAGATGGATCTGAGAGTGCCAAGCAGGATGTGCCTACCTTTATTACATAAAGGAAAAAAAGCACAATAGATCAGTACAGACCAGAAAGTGAAAGATTGAATAGGATAGGATCACAGACCTCTTCCTTTTCCACTTAAGCTTTGTTAAGATTTGCAAGAACACTTTTTGGGATAGAAGGAAAAAAACTTCACTTTTAGCTACAGATGAGCATCAAAAAATACTGACAAAAATATCTATAAATACTTAATTACATAAGACAGTAAATACCTGTCAGGCAGCAACAGACCTTTGCTCACTGGTGACCAATGACCAAATGAGAAAAAAAAAAGTTATTCTGAATAGTCATCCCTGGCATTATGCACTATGCTTGAATTTGCTYCTTTAACAATTTTGCAAATCTAACTACACACACACACAGTTATTTTTCTTCACCCCACTTTAAAAATGATGGATAGTAACAGTCTTTAATATAGCTCTCAATTCTCTTGCACATAAATCTTATCCGACACTTAAAAAAAAAAAAAGAAAACTACCTTTTTGCCTTTAGGGTACCACCTGAAAAAGTAATTTGGGAGGGGGGAAGAGGGGTAAACTTCCTTTACATTTTAAAAGTATTTTAACATAAAAACTAGCATTCCTGTATCGCAATTTACAGTCTTTTATGTTTGTTCCAGCCACACCTTCAAACAAAGAGGAACACTGAATTAAAGAGTTGACATAAAAAAAGTTTGATGAAACATTAAGCATACTTGATGGGTGTGACTGATCACATATTTAAGTGCAGTTTTGCCTCCAATGCATTCATATRAACGCAATGGCTGAATTAATACAGAAAAACCTGTTTTACTTACCAACTAAAACTGTTCACTCCAAGACAGAGGAACTGAGAACCTCCCTCAGCAACAGCTTCCGTGAAATAAAATCCCAAAATAATTGCATTTTTCTCTTTGAATTGAAAAATAAGGAAGACTTTTAAAATTACAGATCCTGGGTATACAAAACATAATACACTTAATATGGGTTGTATTTTCACACAGAAAAACAACACCAAAAA